AATCCATGGGCACATCATAATCAAAAGCTGGAAGGGGAGCGTTTCAACTTGGGGGTGAAAGAATCCCCAGTCCACTCTTCGGTTTCATAAACATACCACCTTGTTCTGCTGAAGAATCTGGACATGGGTTTTCTTAGGTCCGTCTCCCAAGGCAATAAAAATAAAAACAAAAATAAACACATGAGACCGAATTAAACTTACAAGCTTTTGCACAGCAAAGGAAACCATAAAAGAAAACAAAAGGACTACCTACGGAATGACCGACAGGGCTTAATTTCCAAAATATACAAACAGCTCATAATACTCAACAACAAACAAACAACCCAATCGAAAAATGGGCAGAAGACCTAAACAGACATTTCTCCAAAGAAGAAATACAAATGGCCAATAGGTACATGAAAAGATGCTCAACGTCGATGATTAACAGAGAAATGCGGGACTTCCCTGGTGGCACAGGGCTTAAGACTCTGAGCTCCCAATGCAGGGGGCCTGGGTTCGATCCCTGGTCAGGGAACTAGATCCCACGAGCATGCTGCAACTAAGACCTGGTGCAAATAAATAAAATAAAAATTTTTTAAAAAGAGAAATGCAAATCAAATCTACAATGAGGTATCACCTCACACTGGTCAGAATGGCCATCATTAAAAAGTCTACAAATAACAAATGCTGGAAAGGGTGTGGAGAAAAGGGAACCCTCCTACACCGTTGGTGGGAATGTAAATTGGTGCAGCTACTATGGAGAACGGTATGGAGGTTCCTCAGAAAATATACTACCATATGATCCAGCAATCCCACTCCTGGGCATATACCCAGACAAAACTCTAATTCAGAAAGATACATGCATGGCTATGTTCATAGCAGCACTATTCGCAATAGCTAAGACACAGAAACAATGTAAATGTCCATCAGCAGATGAATGGATAAAGAAGCTGTGGTATGTATATACACAGTGGAATACTACTCAGCCATAAGAATGAAATAATGCCATTTGCAGCAACATGGATGCAACTAGAGGTTATCATATTAAGTGACGTAAGTCAGAAAGAAAGACAATATTATATGATATCACTTATATGTGGAATCTAAAATATGACACGAATGAACTTATCTATGAAACAGAAACAGACTCACAGACATAGAGAAAACAATGGTGGTTGCCAAAGGGGAGGGGGCTGGGGGAGGGATGGAGTGGGATGTTGGGATTAGCAGATGCAAACTATTATATATAGGATGGATGAACAACAAGGTCTTACTGTATAGTACAGGGAACTATATTCAGTATTCTATGATAAACCAATTAATGGAAAAGAATTAAAAAAAAAAAAGAATGTATACAGAGAATTCCCTGGCGGTCCAGCGGTTAGGACTCTGTGCTTTCACTGCTGAGGGCTCAGGTTCAATCCCTGGTTGGGGAACTAAGATCCCACAAGCTGTGTGGGGAAAAAAAAAGTGTATGTGTATGTATATATATATATATGTATAACTTAATCACTTTGATGTACAACAAAAATTAACACAACACTGTAAATCAACTCTACTTCAATTTAAAAAATTACACACACAAAAAAAGAATTTGGATGTGGTTTTAAAATACGCCAAAAAAAAAGCCATCAATTGATTTCTCCAGTTAATAAAAAAAATGCTCAAGAGTTGGCAGAGTCAAACTCCTGGTGATGTTGCCATTAGAACTGCGACAGATTCTTCTTAAGATCCTCCTGTCTAATCCTCAGCAGAAGAAGCAGCCTTTTGCTGCTCAGAGATTAACTTGCCTTAGATGATATTTTGATATCATGCCTTAGATTGCCTATTTTCACGTTGGAATTCTGTTCATTATTTACATGTTAAAAAACTGTGGCATGAGTCCTGTGTCAGTTTACCTAGTCCCTTACATAACATTCCTTAGCTCAGGGTTTAAAATGGTTACTCAATGAACTCTGAGCCCATTTAAACATCACCACATGGTTCCAGACACAGGTTTCCCCCGTTTTTTGAAAGTCTGCTTTACACCACTGTGCTTTTACTGAAGACCTGCTTTAGTGCCTGTGTTTGCTAATGGAAAGAAATCCAAAGAGGATGTTCACTTTCAGGAGAGAAGGAGGTGAAGAGTGAAAACAGCATGCAGCGTTTGTAATTGCTACTTGGCTTTACTCCATTTTGGCTTAGGGACGGGTTCCTGGGAATGCTCTCCTCTGGGACAGCGGGAGAATCCGGCACTGACCTTAGACCGTGGGCCTACTGTGCACAGGCAACGCTTGGGTATGAAGTTGGCTTAGACACCGGTATGTGCTGGAAGCTACGGCTTTTCCCGGTAAAGTAAAAGGCCTGCTCACCAGCAACCTCCCCTTTACCAGCAAGATCACCGTGGCATCTCCATGTGGACTTCATGGTTTTGGCCAAAAGAAGACAAGGAAGAAGGCGAAGGCGAGTTTGATGGTCATGCCACCTTCCTTCCTTCACCAAGAATCTCTTTAAATAACTCTCAAATTACTGTGGCTATTGAGAAAGCCACAAACGTGGACAGCGCAAGACACGGAGGCTGGAGTCCTTGAGACTGTACCATTCCTTTGTTCAATAAATATTTACAGAGTACCTACAACCGGCCAGATTCTTTGCTTGGTACTGACACTACGTTGAACACGAAAGACAGACACAAACAAATGGGTAAGGGACAGAGTGGCAGAGCCTGGTATTTCAGACATGGCGGTCAGTGAAGGCTTCTTTAGGGAGGTTACATTTAAGCAGGAAAGAGCAGAGTGCAAAAGCCCCAAAGTGGAGGTGTGCTTCTCGTTCTGTGAACAGCAAGAGAAGCACTCCACTAAGTGGGAGAATCATACAAACGGAGCCTGGAGAGGAGGCTGCAGGCCAGGACACGTACGGCTAGTTGAGTATTTTGGATTTTGTTCTATATGTCACAGGAAGTCACTGGAAAGCTTTGAGCAGGGAAGTAAGAGGGTCGAGGGTCTTGTGAAAGGATCACTGACAGCTGGGCAGAGAATGGCTGCAGCAAAGAGTATCAGTCAGGATCCAGCTGTGAAAAGAGAACCCACTCCAGTTACTACAGGTGGAGGGGATCTGAAGAGTAAGAGGGGTCAGAGGGACACATGGAGTGATACCACTGATGAGAAGCTGCTGAAAATTCCCCTGGCTGGAAGGAACCCAGGGGAGCTGCACCAGCACCGGTGCCACCTGGAGATGCTGTCACTGTCATCCTGTATCTCCTAGAGAGCGGCCACCTTGACCAAGGAAGGAATCATCCCAGCTCCTCTTCCACTACAGAAACACCCAGCAACTGCCACAACTCACTGGAAGCCAGCTGGCAGGAGAACCGGGAAAAGAGCTCACACACTCTGGGTGTCTGTGGGACAGATTATAAAAGGGCAGGTGGAGGACTGAGAAATGACAGATAAATAACCTTCACCGAGTCCACAGTAGAAGCAGGAAACCCAGTAGGATGCTACATAAAGTGCCGGTGAAAATGATTATGGCTTGAACTAGGGCAAAAGTGGTTGAATTCAACCACTGGTATTTTTTTTTATGGTATTTTTTTTCTTCAACCACTGGTATTTTTTTATTAATAATATGCATTTTATTCTATAAAGAAATAAACTATGTTCCAATGTGAGTTACTCTGATACAATAATTTTCATAGATTTTTTTCCACGTACATAACAAATATAATAGAGAAAACTCAAACAATCTCAGCAACTAAGATATATTTCTCTTTCTATGACCAGTGTTGTAAAAATAGTCTCCAAAACTTTGAGTTTGTAACCATCCTGTTAAAATGATATACTATTATTTCTTTTAATTGACAAATACATCCATGACAGTCGTCCTTCAACTGGAAAACCACTGGTATTTTTATTATGTTTTGAAACCAGGGCCAAAGGGAAGAGTCAGGATGATCTAAGGCCTGAGTAAATGGAATGAAGGGTGGTACCACTTAATGAGACTGAGAACACTGGTGGAGGCGTGCCCTGTATTTGTCTCGTGGATGAAGAGAAACCAACAGTTCTATGTACAGCTACCTTTAAGATGCCTATTATGAATCCCAGTATGAGTGGGATAGAGCTGAACATACTGGTTGGAGTTCAGAGGAAAGGGTGGGACCAGATGGGATTTAAAATCTTCTCTGACCACCACGCACGGGATTAGATGAGGCTGTGACTGTGGAAAGAGAAGAGGTCCAAGGACTGAGCCCTCAGGCACCTGAACACGTCAGGAAGCCTGGAAGGGGAGAAAGGTCCAGCAAGGAAAAACCCAGAGGACTTGGTCAGGGAGGGAAAAGGAAAACCGGAAGAATACAGGGTGATGGCGAACAAGCAAACACACTGTCTCCAGAAGATGGCAATGACTGCTGGGTGTGGAGGCCAAGTAATCAATAAACAACTTATCATAAGACTAAAAGAGGGGTTTTTTTCCGGCCAAACAGGACTATAGCGCAGGAGTGCTGTCTCCACCAAGGAGGAAAGCGCTCTGGCGAAGCATGGTTTTCAACACAGTTTTTTATATCTTGTCAGGACAAAGAACACACATCAAACAGGACAGGATACATGCCTTCAAGGTTTCACAAGAGACAGCGAGCCAGCACGACCCCGGCGTCTGGGAGGGAAGCTCACCCTCGAGGGAGCGCCAGCATCGGCGTCCCACGAAAGGGACAGACATCCCCACCTTCAAAGCGGAGTCCTTCACGTCTGGATAACGCATTCTTTCCCCGAGTGGTGAAGGCAGAGGCACGAGACAAACAACCACGTGACAAGCTGATAAAGCCCAAGTCAAATCAGGTACAAGCCAGAAGGACTTCCGGCAATCTCCGCAGGTGCAGAGGAGAGCGAGGGGAGAACCCAGCTGCCGCGGGCATTGTCACGTGGGTGCGGGGGGGGGTCCGAGCTAGCTGCCCCTCTAGGGAGGGGGGGGCAGGGACCTGGGGGGGCGGCCCGGAGAGCGGCTGGTAAAGGGTAAAGGAGGGCGTGGGGGCGGGGCTGCTGAGGGGCACTCACCTGGGCGCCGAGTCCCCGCAGCTCCGAGCTGGAAGGGAGCGGGCCGGGCGGGCCGAGGGGCGCCGCGGCGTAAGGGCGACGCCTCCTGAGCCGCTGGGCACGGCGCCCGGTCGGCGAGGTCGTGACCGCGGGGCCCGGCGCCAGCCCGGCCCGGGCCAGCCGTCCGCCCAGCCGTCCTCACCCCCTCGCCTGCCGACTCCTGGGGGCGGGGCCCACGCGGCGTCCGGCCTGCGCAGGTCACGTGGACCACGCCGGCCAATCGGCGCGCGGCTCGGGGTCGACCCGGGTTCGCAGGGCGGTGGCGGAGCAGTTAGCTGCGGCGAGCAGTTAGCTGCGGCGGAGCTAGCGCGCCGGCGGGACGGAGGTGCGGCCGGGGTCGCTGGGCCCGGGGACGGGGGCGGGGATGGAGAGGCACCGCCCGGCGGCCCCGCGTCCGGCCCGCTCACCCCGCACGGCGCCCGATCTCCCCTGTCCCCGCAGGACTGGCCATGGAGCGCGAGGTGCAGCGAGTTCGCGCGGCGTTCGGGTCCGGCCGCTCGCGCCCCCTGACGTTCCGGCGGCGGCAGCTCGAGGCCCTGCGCGCGATGGTGCAGGAGCGCGAGAGGGACATCCTGGCGGCCATCGCCGCCGACCTGAGCAAGGTGCGCCCCCGGGACCTGCGCTCCACGGCCTGCCCCTTTTCCGCGGGCAGCTGTGGCCCTTTCCCTTCCCCTTCCCCTGGATTTGGGTCATTCGTCCGCTTCGTGTATTGTAGGCCTCTTCCTCCGAGTCGGGTTCTTGTCTTTTAACTTTGCGGTTTCTTATGCAGACACAGGGTTTTGCTTGTCGTCGTTGCGCTCGGATTTCCCTCGATGATGTTAGGTGCCACATCTGTGCACCCGCGAGTCACCCGGAGACCTTGTTACGATGCAGACGATGCTTCACTGGGTCTGGGGGGAGGGGGTCTGAGAGCCCGAGTTTTTGTAAGAAGCTCCCAGGTGATGTACCAATGGAACCACGCTTTGAGTAGCAAGGTCTTGGGGGAGTGTTTCGGGTTTAAAAATGGTCCCCTATGTTTTATAACACTGTTGTTACCACTTTGTTTCTAATTTTTCTCTTCATTTCAGGGGTAACAAGGCCTTGCTCTGGCTTTGCTAGGCTCCTTCGGCCCCTCCCCCTGGAAGATTATTTTGAGGGGTAGTAACATCAGTAGTAACAACAGGAACTCTAAAACTTCCTGTATAGCACTTTTGGTGGAGAGGAACTGTGATGTCAAATAGTGGCGGTGGATTTAAGGAAGATACCCAAAAAAGTCTGACTCATTCACTCTACAAGCATTTCCGAGGGTGTATATATAGGATGACTAAAGAAGTACAATAAACTCCTTGCCCTCGAGGGCTTTAAGTTTGGTTGGGAAACAGAACAGGCACAGAGAAAGTGGGGCTATAGTTTTAAGCCAGTGGATTAAGGCTGAAATGTTAAGATATAGGGGAGAGCATAATGACTATGGTTTATAAAGTGTGATCAAGGCACACCATTATTAATTAGGGAAGTTTTCGTGAAAGAGATAACGTTTAAGCCTGACTTTAAATGGCTTGGATCAGTAAAGAAGGATTTGAAGGGATTGACTATATTAAGAAGGGAATTAGCAAGTCCTTACTGTGGGCTTGGAGGACACACAGGAATCTGCATGGCGAACCAGCTAGTCTGACAGGTTTGCCTGTCCTGATGCTTTTTTTTTTTTTGCATTGCCGTAAGGCTTAGTTCCCCCGACCAGGGATCAAACCTGTGTGCCCTGCAGTGGCAGCACAGAACCCTAACTACTGGACCATCAGGGAATTCCCTGGCCTGATGCTTCTGACATTCAGGGCCAAGTGTGTCATACCCACAAAGGTCAACTGTGACCTTCTTGTAACAGAGCGAATTCAACGCATACAGTCAAGAAGTCATCACCGTGCTTGGGGAAATTGAGCTCGTGCTGGAGAAGCTTCCTGAATGGGCCGCTGCTAAACCAGCTCAGAAGAACCTGGTCACCATGCTGGACGAGGCCTATGTCCAGCCAGAGCCCCTGGGAGTCGTGCTGATCATCGGAGCTTGGAACTACCCCTTTGTCCTCACCATCCAGCCTCTGATAGGAGCCATCGCGGCAGGTCTGGCATCAGCTTCCGTCCTTACGTCCTTAATGTACTGGTTGTACGTTAAGGATAGTGGTTAGTTAAATGCATTTGCTGTGGCGGCTCGCCTTGGTTTGCACCAGCAGTGTATTGAGAATTCATAAACGTTATTATTACTTGTTCAGTGGGCTCCAGAGATCTGTGGGGTGACTGCTTTTTGGGGCCCTGGAGAATGGACCTGCGAGGGCGTAGAGGCACGCGCGAGTCCACGGGCCCAGGTTTGGAGTCACACGTCCATAGTCATGTGGTTTCAGTTGCCACCTCTGGCTTTGGATGAACCAGTTGATGCTGTCTGACCCCTTTCTTCATTCAAATAAGGGCTCTGGGAGTCATGCTTGCTTGGGTCCACAGCAAATGCCAAGGGATTCATTTCTCAGTTAACCAGGATCCAGACCAACAGCTTTATGTTGGCAAAGCTTGTCTGTGCGATAATCCCAGGGCAAAAGGAAAATCCAAGGGTGGGAGTGAGAACAGTGAGAGGCGGCCAGGGGCCTCCCGCCAAGGACCACGTGGTAAGCACTGAGGAGTTAGCCTTTGGGGAAGAGGCAGAGGGGCGAGCGCTCACGCCTGTGGTGAGGAAGACAGAACGCAGAGCCAGAAATAACCAGAGGCATTAACCCTTAGCCTGTGCTCCCCACAGGAGCTCCGTCTCGTGGATGTTAGAATCGCTCGAGTACTAGACAACGTCCTGCTTTTTGCTTTGTTTAGGAAATGCTGTGATTGTCAAGCCTTCTGAAGTAAGTGAAAATACAGCCAAGGCCTTGGCTACGCTCCTCCCTCAGTACCTAGACCAGGTAAGAGGACCTTGCCCCCTCTCTGGCACGTCTGTCTGTCCGTCTGGCACACACTCTGCTCTTCATGCTGGCTTGCGTCATTGGTGGTCAGGCCTCCACACTCATTTTCCCTCAGCCTCCCACGGCTGGCTTCACAAGAGAAGTTCAGTTCCAAAAAAACTGTGGAATAGTTCAGCTGTTGTAGTTACACAGTTTGGTCAGGCCCGTGGCCTTATCGGCACCCCTCTGTTAACAAAGCCTCCGCTGCCATTCGGCATTTCGAATTAACCTTTGATCTGACGTGATTTTAGGTGTATCCTTCTAGTGAGTTATTTATTGAGGGACTGGTACCGTGCTGGGCGCTCTTCATGAGGTACAGTTACGTGAGCACACGTCTACATTTAAACGGGCATGTTTGTGGCCCGAAAACTACAGAAAGAAAAAGGCCTCCTGACCCAGAGTGTGGACCCTCACTCAGAGTTACAGTGCTGGCATTGAAGAGTATCGGAAGCTGGGACTTCCCTGGCGGTCCAGTGGTTAAGACTTCGCCTTCCAACGCAGGGGGTGCGGGTCCGATCCCTGGTCGGGGAGCTGGGATCCCGCGTGCCTTGCGGTCAAAAAACCAAAACAAAAAACAGAAGCAGTATTATAACAAATTCAATACAGACTTTGTAAATGGCCCACATGAAAAAAAAAAATACCTTTAAAAAAAAGAGCATCGGAAGCGGTGGAGAAAAGACGATCTCTGAAGCAGAGGTCTGGTGCCCCCCGTGGAGGAGACCGTGACGCCACGTGAACTGGGGCCGCTAGCTCTGCGTGGAGGGGTCCTCGGTGCATGCCAGGGAGACGCAGCTGTGCAGCATCGCACCTGTAGTCGGCCACGTTTTCTGACAGCGGTCTACAAGCCAACTCCAGTTCTCGGAGGAGCCGTGCTCCCCGTGTTGGCTCATCCCTGCCACGGCGGCCACGGAGCAGTGTTGTCCCAGGGCCTGGGGTACCCAGTGCAGAAGGGCAGTGAAGGCAGTGAGGAAGGGCAGATGCTTCACTGTCTCACTCTGCCCGGATGGGGGTCGTCACTGCGGCCCTGCCTCCCTCGGCTTGTTGGGGACCGACCACACAGGCTCTGTGGATTCAGGCGGAGGCGAGCTAAAGCCTGAAACGCCTGTCGGGCCGCTGAGCTGTGAGTAGAGATGGAGGGGAAACACGGGGCCCACCAGCCGGCTTGTGCTCGGTGTCCCGCCGCCGCTCTTCACACCGTGACTATCATCTCTCGTGCGATAGCTGCAGACGGTCACACGGTGCACATGAGGGTTCAGTGCAAAGCGCTGTGACGTCCCCCCATCACAAGAGGAGGCTGAGGCTCAGAGGCGTCGGGTGGCCGCCAGCAGGCACGTGAGCCAGAGGATGACGGGGCGCAGGTGCAGCCCGGACCTGCCCCTGGAAGCGCTCCCCTGCTGGCCTTTGCACACATTCGGGCGCAGTTACTCAGTTCCCCCCGTGCCCTGAGCCCCACGCTGAGCCGCGCGCAGAGAGGACGTCCGCGTGGATGCGCCTGGGGCCCGTCCTGTGGTCACTGACAGCGGCCACGTTCCCACAACCCTCCCCTCTCCCAGCCCCCGTCTTGTGGTTTCCCGGGGCCAGTCTCCACCTTTTCCTGGTTTCACTGAACGTTACGTGTTTACGTCAGACGATAGGATTCCTTCAGTGATGTGACTGTTTGTCTTTCTTTAAGGACCTGTACGCGGTTGTTAATGGTGGCGTCGAGGAAACCACGGAGCTTCTGAAGCAGCGATTTGACCACATTCTCTACACGGGAAACACCACTGTTGGAAAAATTGTCATGGAAGCCGCCGCCAAGCATCTGACCCCGGTGACCCTTGAACTGGGAGGGAAGAGTCCGTGTTACGTTGACAAAGACTGTGACCTGGACGTTGCCTGCAGGTGAGACCGGTTATCTGGACTCCCCCAGCAGGCTGGCATGCCCTGTACCTCCTCGCTGGGCATTGCCGTTGATGTCCTCACAGGGACCAGAACTCTCACAAACCACGCCTTGGCGCCGCAGCCGGAGGAGATGAACACGAGGTTGTGACATCACACAGTTGCCCTCAGGATGAGGAAAAGCTATTTCTGTTCTCTAGATAATAGACCTGGCAAGCAGTTTTACTGTTCTGATAGCTGATCCAGGAAGTAGGTAATGCCAGGGATCCTGTGTGCCTAATAAGATCTTTAAATTTCCAAAGAAAGGGCATTATGCTGATCTCTTAACTGAGTTCCTTTATTGATAAAACCAATAATTCTCATCTTTTAACTGAGATGAGAATGATAGCATCTTGCATCTGAGAACCAGAAGATGCAAGGTTTCGGGTTGTCTCCGCTAAATCAGTTCAGCTAACAGGAAGCGCCCAAACCCACAGCTGACTGTGCTGGCATGGCGTGGCTCTCCCTCCCTTCAGACAAGGGGAGCGGGGGGCGTCGGCCGGGCTCCGGGTGGGCTCTGTAAGTAGACGTCTACTTGCTGGAACAGGGGACCCCGGTTCGTGGGTTTCCATCCGAGCCCGGGCCCAGCGTCCCAGATCGGGGAGGGCTTCTGGTCCTGCCTGTACCTGGCATCTTGCAGCAGGACCAAGCCACGGCAGGAGCCGTGCTGTCTGTGGAACCCCTGTCCTCCCAGATGTCCTCTCGGCCGGGGTGGGAGAAGGAGGGTGTCAGGAGGCTGTTTCTCTCTTTTCCTGCCGCAGGCAGTGGCTTCCCTGCGTATAAAGTAACGTTTCTCATGAACTGGCAGGAGGCTTTCCCTGCTTTGTAGAACAGTCTACGCCAATTGAAAATGCGTCCTCAGTTCCAGCCAACTGATATAGAGATAAGTTTTCGAAACATTTTTTTTTATCAAGATTACCAAATACATATACGTACTAGTAATCTTGACAGCTACCTGAAAAACGGTCAGACGGCGCTGAAGCGCGTGACAGGGGCGTGGGGACTGAACTCTGCCTGCTCGTGCTTTTCCCAGACGCATCGCCTGGGGCAAGTACATGAACTGCGGCCAGACCTGCATTGCCCCCGACTACGTGCTCTGCGAGCCGTCCCTCCAGGACCTGATCGTGCGGAAGGTGAAGGAGGCCGTGAAGGTTCGTGTTTCCCACCTCTGGGTCCACTGGTCTCACTGGGATACAGAGTGAAATCAGATGTTTGCAGGGGGCATCGCCCCACCCCCTCCCGGGAACATTCCAGGAGCACGTGACTGAACTAATTTCCTGGCTAATGCAAAGTGCTCTCGTAGAACGTGGTAGCAGGGTGAGGTTGGTGCTGCACATGCTGACACTGTCCAGTTGATCTGTGGACGGCACAACTCGTTAGGTGTAGAACGGACCTTAAAAAAAAAAGCCCAGTAGCGATTGTGTGGTCTGGGGAGAACATCGCAAGGCCTCTGCGGTGTGGCCAAGGCGCTCGCCGCGGCTGCGGCGATCGAGGTTATCGGTGCTCGGCTGTGCCGGCGGTTTAGAGAAGCCAGCAGTTTCGAGGAACGTGCACTCTTGACGCGGCCATCAGTCTTTGAGGGCGTTTCAAATGGCCATCTCTAGCGAGGGGACCAAGGAAGGCTACACGGTGGTGTCCTGAGCTGAGCCAGAAGGAACGTAGGACTGGGACTGGAAGAAAGGAAGGGATGAAGCTGTGACAGCTCAGCGGTGGGAGCCCCCTGGGTGGAGAAATTATTGGAACAACCGTTGTTCACTCGCCGGGTACTGACCGAGCCCTGAAAGGAAGGCTCTGGAACACCCAGGAGTGACGTAGGTGAGCAGCAAGGTGACGTGGAAGTTGGACGTTAGTGGCGGGACCGCGATGGGGCCGGACAAGGAGAGCGTGAAAGGGGAGCTTGGCCCGACTCTGGGAAGACACTGGGGCTGCTGGGGACGTGCTCGGGTGAGTGTGGTGAGGAACTGGGTTTCCAGGAGGCGTGTGTTCTCTCGTCGCCGTGGCTCTCCACTGGGGGTCACTGGGAGCCGTTTCAGAAAAGCCCCCAGTCCCCCCCTCCGAAGACGGTGGTCCAGCAGGGCTGGGGTCTCCAGGTGATGCTGAGGTGCGGCCAGCGCTGAAAACCACTCCTGTGGCTCCGGCGTTGGGGCCCAAGAACACGCATTGCAACACGCTGCCCAGGAGCTTCCTTCCTCCCGGGTTCAAGGCGGGTGCAGGGGGCGGACCGTGCTCAGTGCCGCTGGAGAGTAGATTGAGAGCTCCCGCGGGGCTGACTGCTTGGCTTCTGAGGCTCTCTTACTCTGGGGGATTTACCAAGACTGTGTTTTGATCTTTTGAGTGGTTTCACGGTTATCTGTGACTGGTGGAAGTTCCAGTCCAGAGAAGACCTGACACGAGGAAATAGCGCAAAGCTCAGCAAACCCTTTCTGCAAAAGGGGAGACACACAGGCGGTCAGTGTTTTAGGCTTTGCAGGTCACAGGGCCTCTGCCACCACCACCCAGCTCCTCGCAGGACAGCAGCCAGAGCTGATAGGCAAGCGCGCGTGTGGCCCCGACACGGGGCGAGACCCCCCCTACTTGCTCTGTGTCCACCCCCAGGAGGGACCCATGCCAACCCCCGAAACCGTGGAAAATGGGAGACGTGTGTGTGTGCTTTAACTCCTGTCCTTGACCTGCCAAAGAGCTTAGTCTTACTACTGTTAAAGGATTTGGGGGCTGGGGGGTTGGATTCTGTGAGGATACAAAACCAGATTTGGGGCCATGGTGAATTTTATAATTATTAAAGAAATTAAAATACGGGTCTTAGGTGACAACTAGATACTACTGTTTTCAACAGGAATTTTATGGAGAAAATGTGAAAGCATCCCCCGACTATGAAAGGATCATCAACCTTCGTCATTTTAAGAGGATACGAAGTTTGCTTGAAGGACAAAAGATAGCTTTTGGCGGGGAGACCGATGAGGCCACACGCTACATAGGTAACGGAGACTCATCTCGTCCTGTAGGGAGGGGCCGCTTAACAGTTTTTATTGACACTCTTTACCGACACTGAATAAACTATTAGGTATAGAGTGTTTAATAAGCTATTAAATACTGCTTTCTGGTATACTGCTTTGTTACAAGCGAGTTAAAGATGATTTTATATATGTATACGTTGAGTAACTCTATTTAGTTGTTTGTATTTACACACGTATTTTATCTAACTTTTTCTTCCTGGCAACCTTGAGAAGCAGAACCAGACTCTGTAGTTATTTCCAGCTTACGGCTGGGAAAACAGCCCAGAGAAGGAAATAGCTCAACCAGAATCGCACAGCTAGCCGACAGCAGTCCTGTTCCAGAAAGAACGTTTTCACCCATCATGCTTGACCTCGCTATTGACTTTCTTGTGTTCTTTGTTTTTTTGCCACGAGTATGTATCACTTTTGAATTTTAAACACACTTATCTAAAATAACACCTAAGATGAGGGAAGAATCACTCATGGGGACTTCCCTGGTGGCGCAGTGGTTCAGAATCCTCCTGCCAGGGCTTCCCTGGTGGCGCAGTGGCTGGGAGTCCGCCTGCCGATGCAGGGGACACGAGTTCGTGCCCCGGTCTGGGAAGATCCCACATGCCGCGGAGCAGCTGGGCCCGTGAGCCATGGCCACTGAGCCTGCGCGTCCGGAGCCTGTGCTCCGCAATGGGAGAGGCCACAAGAGTGAGAGGCCCGTGTACTGCAAAAAAAAAAAAAAAAAATCCTCCTGCCAATGCAGGGGACACGGGTTCGAGCCCTGTTCCGGGAAGATCCCACATGCCACGGAGCAACTAAGGCCATGCGCCACAACTACTGAGCCTGCGCTCTAGAGCCTGCAAGCCACAACTACTGAAGCCCGCGTGCCACAGCTACTGAGACCACCTGCCACAACTACTGAAGCCCACACACCTAGAGCCCGCACATCTAGAGCCCGTGCTCCACAACAAGAGAAGCCACCGCAGTGAGAAGCCCGCGCACCGCAAGGAAGAGTAGCCCCCACGCGCCGCAACTAGAGAAAGCCCGCACGCAGCAACAAAGACCCAACGCAGCCAAAAATAAATAAATAAACTTATTTTAAAAAAAAAAAAAGATCACACCTGAAGTTGGCGAAAAAGCTGCTCCGCAAATCTGTTTACCTGTTTCCTCTCATCATCACCAAAAACCCCAACTTTTCAAAAACAGAACTTAAGGGACTTAAACAGTACGGAGAAAAGTATGCTCTCGGCCTGTTAGTTCAGCGGCTCCGTAACACCCCCAGAGCCACGGGGGTTCGTCTTTGGGTCCTGCCGGCCCAGCATGTTGACTGCCTGCCTCTATGCCCATCAGTGGTGAGAGGGAAGGTCGGCCGTGATTAGCTCAGACTAGTTAGGAGCTTCCCCCAACCTGGTCCAGGGTCACCTCACCTAAGCGCGTGGCTCTGCAGAGGGGGATGGACACCTCTCTGGCCCAGGGAAGCCGCGGGCGGCAGATCTGAGGCAGCGGCTTCTGTACCCCCGGGCGTGCTGGAGAGAGCCGTCCCGTGCCATGCCTCCAGGACAACCTGGTCGTAACCATGGGTGGAGGAGGCAGCACGCTTGTTCCGTCAGGTGTCTTCTCCTGTAGTCGACCCTCCAGCCCGTCCGCAGGGTCTCCCCGAGCACTGCAGCTTGGGGACTTCTTGGTGTGGACACTGGACACCCCACAAAGCTCTTCAGGATCCACGTCGTCCTCCGGTCTGTGTCTTTCCCCAGAGTGGACGGAACGCTGAGATAAGGCTTAGGGAATCCCACCATTTCATTACGTTTTCTGAACCTGACGCAGTTGTAACCAAGATCAAAGAGATCACAGGCAGGAACGCACTTCTATTAAGAAGCTGTACTGGTTTGATCCACCGAGGGGCCCTCTGTGCTCCCAGGAAGGCCTATCCACAGAGAGACGTAGGAATGTGGTGCTGACAGGGTTAAACACGCGCAGGTTTTACTCAAGCCTGTATCTCCCCCTGGGTTTGCACAAGGATCCCCGACGCACACGCCTGGAGACGTAATATTTGCACGGTTCACCCACGTACTTGGGACTTGTCTCAGCAGACGACACCTGGGCGGGAGTGGGGAAGGGATGGGTGGGTGACCCAGTGAGCCAGACGTGAGGTGAGAGTTTGGCATTTCTGTCTCCTGCTTGAGCGTTTTCATTTTTCAGCCCCAACGATACTCACTGATGTGGATCCTAAAACCAAGGTGATGCAAGAGGAAATTTTTGGACCAATTCTTCCAATAGTGCCTGTGAAGAATGCAGAAGAAGCCATACAGTTCATAAATGAACGCGAAAAGCCCCTGGCTTTCTACGTGTTTTCTCATAACACTAAGGTAAACTTCCCAGCATGCAGCTCGCTCTCAGAAGCCATGCTCCTTCTCTGCTGTACAGCAAATGCTGATTATTTCGTCTGGTGCCAGAGTCCCCCAGTCCTGGGTAATGAGGCCCTGGGGTTAGGGCTGTGACCCTTCCCTTACTCCCTGGGGTCAGAGCTGAGTCTTCGGGGCGAGCGTCACAAGCCTGGTGACTCACAGACACCTGCCATGTCACTGGGAGACGTCTGAGCGCCTGCATCAGAAGCGCTTCTGCTGTTGATCTGTAGGGGGTCCTGTGGTAGAGCCCCGGCTCTTAACCACGCGGTGTCCGCGGCCCGCAGGGCAGTGTCTCTGGCACTGCTGAGGGAGGTGCTTGGGAAGCCTCGGACTTGGCTTTCTCCAGCCACGGGGCTTTGTGGTTGGAGTGGTGTTGCCGTCCCAGCCAGGCCGGCAGACCACACGCCACCCCAGGCCCAGCAGCCCTGCCGCCGCCCTCCACGCGGCCCGTCCGTATGCACCTCGAGGTGACCGGCTGCTGCTAAGGGACAGTGGCCTCAAGGTGGGCCAGTGGGCCAGGAGCCTCTGAAGAAAGGGGAAAACTCGGAAGGGAGGGTGCAGCCAGGTGAGGTCGAGGAGTTCCCACGGCAGGTGTTTTCTGCAGAGCCTCTGCCGGGGCCACGCAGGGAGTCTCGGGGCAGCTTCTAAAGCTGGTGATGCTGGCGGTGCTGGCGTGGTACCGATCTCTACAGACCGTCCAGGAAGACCGGACATGCGGGGCTCAGCTAGGAATGGGTTAGTGGCACACAGCGGTCTGACGGTTGAAATGACCACAGTCAGTGGTGGACAGAGTGGAAGCTGCGGTCTGCGGCCCAGGCACGGGGCGGCGGGTCAGGCTCGGTCCCAGGGTCAGCAGTGACCCTTGCTACAGAGGACTTGGTGGGTCAGCAGCCAGGGGAGGTGACATTTACCAGTCCAGTGTCATCGTGCCCATTCATGTCCCGGGCCAACCAGCGATTTCCTTCAAAAATAGGATGCTACCTCTGAAATCTTGAATCTTTTCTACATTTCCTAGAAACGAAATGATACCTGTTAATCACATGCCATCCTTTAAAGCAGAGATAGAGAAATATTAACAATTTTTAAAACCTGGAATATAGCCTGAACCATCCCTGGTAAGAAAGGCCCTGGCTGTGGTCCCGGGGGTCCAGCACTGGGGCGTGCCCGGGTGCATGGGCCCAACTCTTCAGGTCGTCCGGGTCTCGCTCAGTGCCCCCAGCCTCGAGGAGGATGTGGGTCCCAGGCCAGGGGCGACTGACCCGGAGCCTCTGTTCCTTCTCGTCCTCAGCTCATCAAGCAAATGATCGACAGGACGTCCAGCGGGGGCGTCACGGGCAACGACGTCATCATGCACTTCATGCTCAGCTCCCTGCCCTTCGGAGGCGTGGGTGAGGCCCCCTCCCGGTCACTGCCCCTGCAGGCCGCTGCCTGGGGTCCACCTCTGTCCCGCCCCCTGCTCTCCATCCCCGTCTGTAATGACTGTTCTTTCTTGCGTTGCTTCACTGGTTTATGGATCTTCTCCCAGATTCAGGGCATTTCTTAGGCCAAAAATCAGGTCTCAGTTGAACTCATAAATGCCCTCTGTCCTTTATCGAATGAGGTAGCACATGACGGGCTCACAGCGCCAGGAGCAGACAGCAGCCAAGGGCTTGAACGTCCCTTTGCTTTTTGGGGCTAAAGGGGCAAAACCAAACAAAACACTGTAGAAAGTTACAAGGGAAAATGTAGTCACCTCCGAGGTATAAGCACTGTTAACATTTTGGCTTGTTTAGATTTTCTTCCTTAAAATGCACGTCTCTTGACACACGTCACAGAGTCTCCCTGCAGCTTCAGCTGTCACCTAGGTGATGCCCCAGCGGCCCGGCCCCAGTAAGCTGCGCGCCGGGTGCCTTGTGCCACGTGCTCGTCCGCCCGGCTCACTTGACCGAGCAGAGAAGTGAGCGCGGTCCCGGAGCACAGGTCCGAGAGGCCTGTTGCCACACAGCCGCTTGACCCCACTGTCCTGGCCTTGGGCACCTTCCAGGAGCCTGGAGGAGCAGTGGCTCAGGCACGTGCCACGGCGGGAACAGGCACATGCGGCTCTTGGAGTGGACCGCTTGGGGTCCCGCTCGGGCCCTGCCCAGCCCCCTCTCCCTCTCAGGAGGTGGGGCTCTGGTGAGAGTGAGCTTGGTCCCCGGCATCAGTGACAGCCAGTATCCCGGGAGCTGCCGGTCCCTGCCCTGCTCTCGGAGAGTGTCCTGTGCCAGGGGCCCGCCGTCCGGGGGGCGCTAGGAGGACGTCCTGGAACGAGCCACGTGCGCCGGTGGAGGGGTGCAGCCGGGGCGCCGTGTGCACGGAAGGAGCGCCGTCACCCACAGCGGAGCCCGTCTCGTCTGTTCCTTTATTTCAGGGTCCAGTGGGATGGGAGCGTATCACGGAAAACACAGTTTCGATACTTTTTCGCATCAGCGTCCCTGTTTATTAAAAAGCCTGAAGCGAGAAGGCGCAAACAAACTCCGGTATCCTCCCAATAGCCAGTCGAAGGTGGACTGGGCCAAACTGTTCTTCCTGAAACGGCTCAACAGAGGGAAACTCGGGCTTCTGCTGCTTGCCCTCCTGGGCGTCGTGGTGGCGGCGCTCATGAAGGTGAGTCCCCGGGACTCGGGCGCCCGGCGCCTCCAGGTGCACCTCTTGCGTCTCGGGAGCACCTCTGGTCTTTCAAGCAGCTCTCTCCTATTAACTTCCAGAGCCTAAGACTGAGGTCAGGGAGCTTCAGGCTGCTGGGCCGCCCTGCTTTTCCGGGCATCCCCGGCTGCCTCTGTGCTCCGGCGGCAGGGACCGTGCAGCCCACAGGCCTCAGTCCTTACAGGGGGCGTGTGGCGGCCTCTGGTGTGAGAGTTCAGAGCCCCGTCGAGCGTGCTGCCGGAGTCCGAGCCGCCTCACCCTCTGACCCTCTTGCCGTTGGTGCCTGAGCGTGTTTGGTTCCTGGCTGTGCAGGAACCCGGTGTGCGTGGAGGTGGAGGACAGCGTGCCGGGGACGGGGCTGGTGGGGAAGCAGCTGTGCTGGGGGAAGCTGGCCTGTGGCGTTTCTCTCTGGTGACTGGCCGTTCCGGGCGTGGACTTGCTAAGAGACCCTCATGACGGCCAGCGTCCAAGGACGGTCCGTATCCTCAGGGCGGAGCCAGATGCAAGCATTTAATGGAAACAGCTGTGTTCATATCTGTATTTTGTTGAAATGTTGAAAGGGGGTTGGCTCACCTTACAGTGTCGCAGCTTTGGTGGAACTGGACCTACCGGTCACGTCTGAGATCGTTTGCGTTTCCTCGGAAATACCAGGCTGTGCTGAGGAGAAAGGCCCTGTTGATCTTTCTGGCAGTTCACAGATTGTGCCGTCCTGGGAGCCAGGAACGCCAGAACCCAGCCCTGTCTGTTGAGAGGAGGTTGGGCTGTTTCTTTCCTTTCTGTCAAGTGGGCCAGCTTGGGGTGTGTTCTCTTCCAGTCGTTTGTTTTTCTACACTTGGAGGCTTAGGCGTTATCAGAAAAAGAATGTCTCCAGACGTTCTGGACCATGGCCTGGAGCGTCAGAGTGTGAAAACTTAACTTGGCCACAGGTTTCCAAGGGTGAGGTCGGCTTGCTGGACTCCCAAGATTAGAGGTCGTGGCTCAGCTGGGTCTGGGTGAAGCATTCATTACTTCCAGAAAAGGATGGTCTCCTGCACTCAGCTGTCCCAGAGGACATGCCCGCTGACCCACTCATAGTCACCTTCCTTTGTTTCAGAATTTGAGAATAATCTTATAAAAAGCTCCAAGTCGCTATTTATTTTGGTTTTGAGTTGTTTCGTTTTTTTTTTTTTTAAACTTCGACTTTAGAATTCATGTAGCAGACTTAGTGAATCAAAACATCTTGTGGGGTGTAGAACTTCCTGGGTTTTTTTCTTCTGCTTCTTCCTGAGGTCGGAGGTGCGCTTGGGTCTCTGGTCACTATTAGCCTATCTTTCTTCCCCGAGACGTGGGTCCCCAGCCTGACAGGCATCTTCTTGGTCTGGATGGAGTTTCTTAGCCTCATGGAAAATTCGGAGGTGCAGGCTGACTGTGCCCCGTATTCCCAGGAGGGCTCCCCCAGGTGCAATGCCCCGTGCCCCACAGGCTAGGGCAGGCCAGGTGGCCCGCCCAGAGTTCCCGAAAGGGTTTGGCAGACAAGCCTTTCTCTGGTAGGGTCTAGAGAAGCAGCAGTGTATAAAAACGTTTATTCGGCTGGGAACAAGAAAATATGGCTTTGATCCCGGGCTCTGGGATCGACTTAATTATGGCTTCGGCCCAGGCCTCTTCTGAGCCCAGAGAGCGAGGGCACGGGCACCCGGAGGTCCAGGCCGCTTCCAGCCGCACCTCTCTGCGCTCCTTACTGGGAGCCCGTGTGTTCGTCGTCCCGATTGTTTTGGATTCAGTGTGAGACGGCGTAAAGATTTGGGGGTTTCTCTCCTCTTTGCTGCTTCTCTGCTCTTCTCTCTGTGTTTTTACCCACTTCTTATCAAATCACCTTCTAAACAAATGACTCTGAGCCTAAACTGTCCATTTACTTGAGGAATCTACTGGCGGTAACTGCAGACATTTTTCTGAAATTGCTTTTTGCACTTAGTAGTTATTTTGTTATGTGCTTGGATATGATTTTAGTAATTCACTTTACTAGAATTAGAATGGATTTGGAACATTTTAAAATGGGAAACTGAAAGCTGCAAAACTGTCAATCCAAAGGGAACATGTCAGAACCTCAGCGTGGGGGAATTTTCTCTGTGCATTTTACACAAAGTTCCAATAAAGCTTAACATAAGCTGTGGAAAGCATTTGGGGGTTTGTAAAAGTTCAGGAAAATAAAAGGTTCAAATTGAACGATGTCATCGGGCCTTTGAAAATGAAATCCAACGTTTGAACTCTGCGGTTATGGCCGTGCTTCTTTAAGCCTCAGTGGGTACTGGTGAAATTCACCACTGGGGGAGGGCATGACCTGTCATCCTCAGCCCGGCCACACTTAAGACTCCTTAGGGGTCTGTGGGCCTTGTTGACATGGTCCTCAGGACAGACGGTACGTGTCAGGGTCCCGATCCTGGGCCCATGTTCCAGGGCTGGTGGGGACATTGTAAACCAGTGGGTAACCCAGATTCCTTTCTCCTCCCCCAGGCTGGATGCTACTGAAGAGCGATCCGTGCCGCCTCGTCATCCTCTCTACTGAATTATTCTTCTACCAAATAATTAATGAACCAGTAATTTTGAAATCCTGCCAAAAATTGTAAGACAATATGCAAATGCACCATCGCCAAACCTAAAAGTCGTTGCCACTCACCGTTAATAAAACTCACCGTTTCAGCCAAAGCCCAGCACTCGCCCGCCCAGTAGTGAGACACTCGGAGAACCCCCATCCCTAGAGCTCTGGGCTGGGGGAGGGGAGAGCGCGCTGGGAGAACCTGAGTTCGCAGAACCTGCTCAGCGACTCTGCTGCTCAGGGGACATGGGACACCCTGCCCCTACCGCGGGCATCACCCTGTGGCCTTCCAGAGCCCAGCCCCGCCCAGGCTTCCAGCTCTCAGTCCAGAGAGGTGAGGCGAGGTCTCCCAGCCCCCTTGGGGTTCGAGGCACTAGAACTGAGGTGGGGGGGCTCCCTGTCCCTCGTCTGTTGGGACTTGAAAGCCTGACCTCCGGGAGTCGGGCCCTCCTCTCTCATCCACTCTCTGTCCTGTCTCGCGCTTGGTCTGTGATGGTCCGTGATGGGAGCCACACGTGGTTTTGTGACTCATGTCGTCCACACGTGGTTTTGTGACTCATGTGACTCATGTCATCCACACGTGGTTTTGTGACTCATGTCACTCACTCAGAGCATCTTGTAAATCCTAGGGCTTCCTGGAAGACAGTTGCCAATTTCATACAAGTATCAGCTATCATTCCTAGGGTGCAGGAGTTGTAGAGTTCTGCGTCTTACAAAACCCACCTGGCATTTTTTACTGCTGTCCTGAAAGTACTCATAACAATACTTATCCTCACATAATAGGACCTTCAAGTTGCAAGTTAATGGCTCTTCAAGGACAAATCTAAGCTTCTTATTTCTGTAGCACAAGGCAAGTAAATTTCCCTTTTTTAGACTTGAGAGAGATGCCTTTCTGAATAGATTGGGTCCACAAAACTTAACGTGGGGACCATTTCCTGTCCCGGACGGCTCTGCAGCCCTGAGAGCCTCGGGGGCTGGTGAGTGGGCGTCTGTAGGAGGACCCTGAGCCACAGCAGCTGCCCCGCCAAAGGGGACGGAAGACGCAGGGAGACGACACCACCACCACCACCCCCCCCCCCCCCCCCCCCCCCCCCCCCCCC